CTCCAACCTACTAGCGATGGCCTCCAACCTACTAGCGATGGCCTCCACCCTAATACCGATGGCCTCCAACCTAGAAGGGATGACCTCCAACCTGAGGACCCACCTGGTTGTGACGTTGCTTCGCGAGCTTCAGCGCAGGCTCCTGAAGTTGATGAGCAGCGCGGACCAAGACCCCATCCGGTGCACCCTGGTGAAGAACGGCATTCTTTTGGAAGACCAGACTTGGCCTTACATGCAATGGGACTCCAGAGAGAAGCGGTTGATCCTGAAAAAGTCCAAGACACCCATGTCGATGACCATGGCTCAGGAAATGCTGGAGGAGTTGTTGGCGCTGGTGAAGGAGGACGGGGCCATTCAGAAATTCCACTCCTTGCAAGCCGGAACAGGATCGCAGCCAGCCCTGGAGACTGTAGGTTGGCCTGAGAACCGATCGACTCTACCGACTTCTGGCCAACAGCTGCAATTTGAGTCTATGGCAGATCGTGGGGATTCAGCTCAAGGCGCATTCCCAGAAAGCGTCCCCCCTGGCTTTAGTCAAGGACATGATGCAGCAGCTGTGAGAGATGGGGAGCAAGGCATGGTAGCATCGAATCCTGCGAATCATTGTTTTGTGAATGCTTCAGTGCTAGCTTTGGTGTGGGCAAGTCTTCACCGCTTCCACTTCTCCATGGCTGATTGGGGATTGCTTCAAGATGGCTTGAAGGCAATGCTGCAGAAAGGATCTGAACCTTTTCTGATCCTGGGGATTGAGCAGTTTGGGCAGCTTTTTGCCCAGTGGGATGGCACTCAACAGTGTGACGCTGTTGAATTCACGAGCCAGCTCCTTGCAAAGCTGGACCAAACCGTAGTCCACAGCCTTTGGGAGCGTAGGTATCTTCGAGAGAAGCAGGGGTGGTGAAAACATACGCGCACGAGATGGGAGCCTTGATTATGCACCTGAAGGTCATGCCAGAGCCATCACATAGCCTGTTTCATCTCATGGAGAATTGGCAGCATGATTCTGGAATGCTCACCGCTTTTGTCCATTTGCCACCACTGCTGTGTATCCATCTTGATCGTTTGAAACCGATGACAGGTACCCGACATGGCCCAGGTGCCGAAGTTCTTTGGTGATAGCACCAAGATCGAAATGCAGGACTACATGGTGGTGGCAGCCTTTGCGCATCTGGACTCGCCTGGGGCTGGGCATTACCGAGCTGCCCTTCGGCACCTTGGCTCTTCCTTGTCTCCTGAATGGTTGATGTGTGAGGACGATTCACGTCCTGCGCCCGTTCCCTTTTTGCCAGGTTGGTTTGAAACACAGGTGACACTCACCTGGGCTGTCAGAATTGCTGACAGTAAGTTCAGCATTGATTTTGGCCGCGCTGCACACCCTTCCTTGGATGTCACTAGTGTGTTGCAGCTTTTTGCGGATTGATGGCTACGCTTTTGTGGACTGACCTCTTCACTGGAGGTTCTTGAGCATAAGTCTTCCAATGGTAGCCATGGCAGTGAGCCATGCTAAGGTTTGCGCAAAGACCGCCTCGTGCACTTGGCGTTCGAAAGTCCGAAAGTCCAACCTAGAAAGGATGGCCTCCAACCGAATAGCGATGGCTAGCCTGGCTAGCCGCTACCGCTTTCAACGTTCATTTCAACTGCTTCGAAGGACTGGATCAGAGCCCTTTGTGCCGAAATGTGCCAAAGCTGATGACGATCTGTTTCGGTTGGAGAAGTTTCCGATCGAGACTGCCTTTGGTGTAGTGGCTTGCCGCCTGTTCCATCTGTCGGGCGTAACCTCCTCACTTGGAAGGTAGCCATGCCGCTGACACTCTGGTCGGGACGGCATAAAAGGAAGTGAAAAGACCCTAGAGAAAACGAAACAAATTAAGCACCGCAAGTACCGAGACCGAAACGCCACGTCTTCAACGTACGGCCGCCACCGTCCAGAATCAACTTTGCAAAAGTCTCCAGTTCACCTTTCGAGAAAAACGGTCGCGCGTCCAAGAGGATGCCACGTGGTAAAGCTTTACCGCAGTGGTGGGATTCATCACGTCGGTGACTACCCGGCAACATACGCTGTGATCGGACATGTTCATTTCACGAGGAGAGGAAATACAGGAACAGGTAGAAGGGACATGAAGGGACCGGCGTTTGGTCTGATTTGTCTGAGGGGTTGGCTTGCTGTTGTGATGGTTCTGGGGGGGCTGGGCTCTAGGGATGCTAGGTTGCGTAGAGCTGAGCTGTTTTTTCCGCTGTTGCTTTTGAAACCACCCTCAGAGTTGTGGGAACCGTCAGAGGCACAGTAGCAGAGGCAGACTGTTCCGAGAAATGAAGCTGCTGGCCTGCTTTGGGTTCTTAAACTCACTGCCGGACAAGTACAAGTTTGTGGTGCTTAACCTCTTCGTTACTTTGTAAGCAGAAGGGCACTCAAGAGGTAATTTGGTTTGGACTCCGAGCCTCTAGTCTTTGGAACAGCACTTCTTTCCTGACAGCCCTGTTTGGATTTTCCGTGGCACTGAAGCTGATGAGGTTGCCAAAATTTATGCTAGCAAGTTCTAGCAAGCAAGATTGGAAGCTAGAACTGCGGAGAAGCTGGCCATCGCCAAATGGGTGGATGATGGTGGATGGATGGAAGAACTTTCAAAGTTCAAATCCGCCTCCTTGTTACTAGTAGCGATGCCAGGAGCCCCTAGTAGCGTCCGTGTTCCTAGCAAATTTTGGATGGCCTCTGGCAAGGCTCCAGGAATCAGCACGCCTGAACCCTTGTCGCCCTTGTTTCCTTTCCACAGCCTACAAGAAAAGAGATGTTGGAGGCTCTTCCGACGACTGAAGGTCAGCATTTGTGGGCAGGTGACTCGTTGCTGTGCTCGGTGTAGTTTGAAGGTTTGGCTTTCTGGTCCAAGACCAAAGTTTAAAGAGCAGCTGCCACTGAGTGTTACAACCAAGGGCAGCTGCTCCAACTTTTTACCCGTTTGTTCAGCTTCTCATAAAAATGAAACTCTTGACGACAGCCATCGGTGTGTTCAGTGTGACATCAAAGGTAACAATGCCCAACTGCATGTCAATTCCTCTTGGCACCACCCTTGCAAGCATCACGGCAAGTTCTAGTGTGCTGAACTGGTAAGTAGCTAGAGCGTGCAGTGCTAGAGCTTTTGTGTTTGTGTAGCCTTGTGAAAAAGTATAAAATGCTTCCAACTCTGGCTGACAAAATGTCTACTTTGCATCGAAGTCTTGCAGCCTCAGGCTTCCGCTGCTGTGGCACAGCGCAGCTTCTCATCGAGGGCATCTATGAATTTATCCTTCGCCTATTACAAACAGGAAACATGTAAAGCCTTGTAATGTGTTTGGCAAACGCCAGCCTCCTCGGTCGACAGTGTGCAAGGAAAAACCTCATCATTACCAACCAACCACATTAAATTCTTGCGGGCTATTGTTTTGTGGCCTCTCTTCGCTGTCCCGTCTGGACAAGCAGGGAGTAGGTAAGGAAAATGACCTGCAATAGAATCCGTCTCCGCTGATTCCCATGCCTGATTGCCGAATAATTAAGAAAAGCATGTACAAGATTCAAGCAGAGCCACTCCGTCTCCCTCAATGCCCAAGTGACGGACCAACTCCTGGTAAAGCAAAGGCTTGGACAAAGCGCATATATATAGACTCAGACTCTGAAGCGATTTCCAACTGGGTCCTTGTTAGCTGACGTCCCCTTCTCGTCAAGTGGTCCACTTGGAGGTAGCTTTCGCATGGGCATGCCTAGAACAGTCCAGCAATAAGAATCCGCCTGCTTAAAGTAATATGAATTAATGTATATATCTACAACTCTTGCTGCATCACTGATGCTTCTTGGATCCTCTTGGCCTCCGGCAAGGGATATCAGCACCAAGGTCCTGCAAATCTCGGCCTCAAGATTAATGGCAGTCTCGAAGAACGCAGGATGAACTGATGCCACATATTGCACCGCAAGTGTCCAAGGCTGTTGCATGCGTCATAGTACAAGTCACCTATGCTGACGCTCTGGAACAAAGGTGCAGGCACCGGCACGTGGAGAAAGCTGAGGCTGTGGCTGGTCGCTGAAATCCAAATGGACCCTGAAGGTGGGAACAACGGAATGTGACGAGCCGTTTTCCTCGTCTCTGTCCGTCGAAATGCAGGGCAGGATGGCGTCGGTGTCCGGAGTTCCACATGTGGTACAGCAAAGCGGAGATGACCCGTCCCTTGCCGCAGCCAGTGCCATCACCAAGTACCTCTCCAAACCCTCCGTTCAGTCAACCGAGTCACGCCGTTGCACCGAGTGCCTTTGTTCTTCCAAAGTCTAGTCTAGCTTCCCCGTTGAAAGGTATACATTCCAAGAGTGCAAACAGTCTATTGTGACATGGATTTACATCACCAACATCACTGACATCTTGATCAGAGCTTCTTCGCTCAGCGGCACATAGCCAGCTGTGCGACCATCTGGCAGCTTTGTGCGAAAACGCCGAGCAGCAAAGCCTGGGTTGCACACACATGTCAAAGAAGAAGCCTGACAAATATGGAGAATCTATTGAGAATCTGGTTCACAAGCGTGCAGCTCAAAAATATTGCTAAATCCAAAGAATGGCATGTCCCTTTGCAAAATGGCAAAACCTCTGCGGCCCAGGCAAACAGTCTCCAACTGAAGCGAAGACAATCGTTCCTTTCAGGGGGTTGACAAACTTACAGTAACTGGTGACACGAGGCTGCCCATACAAGTCTATGTAATTGGGCAGCATGTCTATCTGCATATCCGAGAACATTGTAGTGTTTGGCAGTTGCCAAATATGTGTCATGTGCTTTATTAGAACCTGCTTGGCACCTCTGCAACGACAGCTGGTAAAGCTAGTGCATCGCTTTCATTGAGCTCTGGCCTGAGACAAGCACGGCGAGTGTCCACGAACAGTGAGGTGTGCAAGATGTGCGAGGGCCCCCTCAGGCCGTCGCAAACGGATGCTGGCAGCAGCACGAGGCTCAGAAAGAGGGTCTGGATGGTCACAAGTGAGCGTCTTCACCTCAACATGGTCATACAGACGAAAACCCGCAAGACCCCCAGGTGTACCTTTGTGCTCTCCAGGTGACGACCGAAGACCGTCGCAACAGAGTCATTCTTTCGTACTCATCCTCCAAGGCCTGCAGATGCGCAGCAATGCCAATGCATATTCGAGCAACTTTGCTGGGCTGGCTTGCCAAGCACAATAAAGCACAACGAGCATTGCAACGTCTTCTGGCCTCGACAAAACCCCCGTCAGCCCCATTTGTAGCCTGATAGGCATGATATGGCATGACTCATACGCCAATTCCAGCAGTGCCTACAGTGAGAATCCCAACATATCCTAAAGGAGCTCTTTTTTTTGCATGGGTGTATGCCTATATATATACTACTATTACTATGTATACTTGAGAGAGGAGGGGGTGAACGAAAGGTAGCAGGCAATCACAAGTAACCCTGGTAGAAGTCCATGACGGCGTGAAGGGGTGATTTGATCCAGGGGCCCCCCCGCCGAACAGACTAATTTCTTACAGGACCAAACTCAATGCACAATGCCAATTCCTGATTGTAATACATTTTTGCTAAAGCAAGGAGAACTCAGGTAGCTCAAGCTACGTTTCGTGATAGTTGTATATAATATTGTCTATTCGAACAAATTATTGAACATGTTTGTAGATTATCTATGATTATCTATTGAATCTATTGATCAGTGTCTTGCTTGATGTCTTTGACATTCCCGCGCGAGAAGCCTGTGATTGAACTTCTCTCGTCTCCTTCGACTGCTTTGCTGGTGCAGCTATACCAGGGCGAATGAATTCAACGGCGTTCTGGTCATCAACATTGAGATCTGAGCCATCCGTCCACTCATGGTGGTTTTCCGCTCTATGCCCCCTCGAAATGAGATCCTCCAGTTGCTGCTGGGCAGTTCGACCTCCTCCCACTGGCCGCACTTCATGTCTTTGGCAATCCATTTCGAACCTCTCGGATCTGACAAATAAAAAACACTTCTTCTGCCCATGATAACCAATTGCCACTGGTGTAGCCTGACTCCATGTTGGTTTGCCCTTCAATGGGGCAAGGACTTCAACACCTCGGGCTTTGTTCATCGCCCATCGTGGCCAAAATTCCTGGGTTTTCTGCTGCGGACTTGGCACTGAACGTGGTGCCGCACTTTTTTCAAAAGCAGAAATCGCTTCCTCAACCTCTGCAGAGGAGAAAACTTGGCCACGGTATTCTTTGCCTGTCTCAGCCCACTTGCGAAGCATTGGGAAGAATCTGCGAGCCTTCTCCGGATCAGTCTGCGGTTGAAGGACTCCATTGTAGAGAAAGCTTGCGTTCGCGCTCAGCCCTTCTGCCATGGGGCACTGCAAAAAGGCGTCTGGGCGCGCCGGATCGTCAACCTAGAACTTGTGCAACTATCAATGGCTTCAAAGACCTGCCACAAGAGTCTGCCTCCTACTTGTGGAAAGAACTCTAGCTTGTTGATGCTTGTTGCAAGGATCTGGGGTGACTCGATGTTGTTCCAGCACGTTTTCAAAATATTTCACAACATAAAGGACAGGATATAGCAGCTATCAAGCATGAGCCCGACCGCCGCGGACATCTAAAGTTCAAGTTTTTTGCCCTCCAAGACCTCATCTAAGGATCAGCACGTCAAGGTTCAGATAATTATTCTGAAATCCAGCTGATGCTGTCGTACTATCGCGTTTTGCATGAATACGATGGCAGAGTCTCAGTGATAAATTGGAAAATCATGGGGATGCTGAAGCTGCAAGCATGGGGACCGGCATAGAAACAACACGAAGCAACTAAACACGACTAAACACTTGGCATCGGTGTGTCAACTTGACTATGCTTTGCGAGATCACGGTCCCCCTCAAGCCCGTCTGCTGTCCCAGACTACTAAACGGTGCCCCGGAGTCTTCACAACGGATCTTCAGCTGAAGGCTCCGCAAACCTGTGACAACAGTCCAATCATATCCAGACATGCTGAGTTCACAAGCAACAGGAACACGAAACTCCAACCAACAGATCGATCATTCAAAACATGTCAAACGTGGCTTTCAATTCGGCAATAAAACCTGAGAAGTGAAAGGGCGAAAGCCAGCCCTCGCAAACACTTGGACCAAAGTGTTTTTTCAGCCCAAGAAGCTCGAGTCTGTTCTGGAGTTGGTTTGCCAGGTGGGTCGCGTTTACATCTGTCGTGTCCTGCTTTGTTCAGGGTCTTGCGGCTAGAGCCCGCTTTTCGGAGGTGCCCTTTTCTGCTTGGAAACGGCCTTCAAATAAGCACAAAAGGGGCACCAAAAAAGGGCAGCTGAAGATGTTCTATTGAATGACCACCTTCAGCGCTTGTGGCATGAGTGGCTTGAACACTTTTACATACAGTGCATGCAGCGCTGTAAACACTGTGCCACTTCTATGGTATGATGCCTAATTACCGTGGCACCATGAATCACGTTAACTCCTGTTGTTTGATCCCCAACTACTAATGGTTCAGTAACTGCTTTCGGGGTCAGAATCCCACAGTGTCCTTTATGCCCCAAACGTCAAGCCAAAACCTCCATGATGTGCTGCTTGTGCTTGCGCGCAAGACTTGAACCCACTACAAAAACACTGCAAATTGTAGTGTCTGTTAAACATCTCCCGAGCATGCTCTGGGTTCACGCTTCCACCACCACGCAACACCCCCCATAGACGCCCTGAAAACACCCACTTCGTCCACAAGATTAATGTTTGTAAAATCATCCAAAATGCATCGGCGGTCCTGCTTTGTCAAGGGTCAAGGGTCTTATCGCAGGAACCTTAAGGGTTTTCTTCAACTCTCTCTGCATCTAGATCTCTGGAAGTCACGTCTTTCCAAACTTGCATCGACAATTAATCTCAAGCAGCTGTACCAGTTTGTCCCCACAAGTCTTCCAAAAATCGCTGCTAGCTTCGCGTCCAAAAACACAATCTTTTACGCTGCTTTCCCCTCAAACTGCACAAACGCCTCTATGTCCACACTTTCAACCACCTCACCATGCAAAAGCACCGAATGTATGACTCGACAACAAACACCGAAACACTACTGATCGTTTCCATGCAAAAAACCAACAAATTTGCCAAAGCACCCCAAGAGACGCCACCATGGCAACTTGATCACGCAAAAATAAAAACAATGCTAGTCTAACTGTTGTGGTATCACTCGCATCACAAAGACGGTCGTCAGGCTCTGGGTTCACCTTCCGAAAATAGCCAGCACGCATCCACTCCCCCCACACCCTTTCATACTCACTTCGTTCGCTATATATACAGACCTCCGGCCTAATAAATAAATCCTTTCGTAAACCAAGAGACTGAGCTCTATAATTGAGTTTCACGACAGATCAGCACAACCTCCGAACCCTTGGTCAAGAGTGATATGAAGGGCTTACCTGCTGGTCAACCAAACCGGAAAAATTCCGCTTCCGCTGCACAGCGGCCCCTGTAGATGCCTTGGGAAAATCTACTAAGGAGTCAGTTTCATCAGTCTGAGTATACTAGTCTCCCATCTATGACCTGCTTGACCGATGCTTGGCACACTACATTGGAGAACAAGGGAATCTGGACTTTGTCTTGCTGCAATATCTCTGGATCTTCTCTGCCAATTTGTATTGTTTGGTGTCATCATGTCGCACCGATGTGGAAAAGCTCTGCGCGTGTATTCGGTGTTTGCCTTTGCAGCTGTGACCGGTGGGAGCTGTCACAAGCAACATCAAGCAACTGATGCATGTTGGCCTGCATCGTTGAATGTACGCCAAAAAGCTGCGAATGTTCGCCTGGCACCAACTGCCAACTCCCACCAAATTGCCTTTGCAGAAAATTAGGCCTTTTATCGGATTACTCTTGATTGACTTGAGACTGTTTACATATATAGAGAGACAATTACATTCTATAATACAAATATGTCAATTCAATCGATACTGTCGGGTCTTCGCGTGCATTTCTTGTCCGGCATTTTTGGACTTGTGACTTGTCCGGAGCACGAGGCCACGAGGATGGGTTCACTGGGCCCAGGTTTGATGGGTCGCAGTGGGGGCATTGCCGGATTAGATGGTCTTTGACCAACTGAACTGTGAAACCGCAAGCCACATAGCAGGGACACGAAGAGGAATCATCGAGAACCTCTTTTTGTAGCTCAGGCGTCTACATGCCTCTCTCCTGTGAGTCCTGATTCTGTGGCCAAGATTCTCAGTGAAGCGAGGCAAGACCCATCTTCGATGGGCTCCCACTTTGCTGGTACAAAGCAAACAGAGAATCTCTTGAGCTCTAAACGTGACTCAACTCAAGCCACTCAAGCAACTGATTCTCGTGGTATAGTACCTTCTGGTTCATCCCTGAGTTCACTCACCTTTGAAATGTTTCATTATGATACTGCCTTCAGCTCTGGGAAGACTGTCTGCCTGGGATTGGCATGATCCCCACTGCCACACACTGACGTAGACACTGAAAATATATGAAAATTAATATACCATAGATCCACTGAGGCCGTTGCAGGTGCTTCTTCAAGTCAACTAGCTGCCTGGCATCACACACCGACCAACAGCCTTGATGGCCTTCATTGTTTCTAGTGATCTCGTTCCACTCGTGCGATCAACAAGGAATATAGGAATCCAGGAATCCTGAGTGATTGGCTACATACTCTGGTAGATCTCTAATAACTCTAGTGACTCCGTGAACCCTCCCTTGTTGCTCTCTCCCCTCTTGTCTCTCCTGTCTCTCTTCATGTCGTCGTTGGCGCTTGGTATGCCAGTCCGATCGGTTCTCTCCGGCCCCTGAGTCTCCGGGCTTTGTGAGGTTCTTCGTGTCTTTTTTGATCCTAACAGAACGTTTCCCTGGCCTGGTTTCGCAAAAACATCACCGCGTTTAAATAACCTCTCCTGTAGATGTCAATGCCTCGACCATGTCCAGAGATCAGCCTGGACGACAGAAAGCAAACGTCTGTAACCTGTCATCTTATGACAGAAAAGCTTTGGCCAACACCAAACATCTACACTCTGCAAATTGTTTGGAATCAAAAATTACACCACCATAGACGCCACACGATTTCAGCAGGATTGCAGTCCGTCAGTTCCTTATATTCTAATGTTGGTGGAAAAGATGGAACAGTCTGTAATTATATTGATTCCTATATAGTCCCAAAACTCCGGCTGTTTGAGAGCTGCATATAAGCAAAAGGACGATTTTTGGGGAACATAATGGTATCAAATCAAACATACTGCATCACTGTTGCACTCACAGCCACAAAAAACAAAGCCTGGTCCCGGGGGAAAAAGGGAAAACCGCGGCCAAACAAGGGACAAGGTCCGGACAATGCAGAGAAGACAGGGCCCGTGGCCAAGCATGGACAACGAACCTGGACAAGGCCTGGACAAGATCCGGACAAGGCGGTGAAGAAATGAAAGGGTGGACGGTGGGGCCACGGCTATTGAGCCCACTTTTCTTCCTAAGAGAGAACCCCAACAGCAAACTGTTTGTGGACAAAAACACCGATGATGTGGTGTCAACTTTGCTCACACAATCTGACGCGCCTTACTGCATGCGCAAACTCAGCCTGAAAGCTGCATCAACCAGCAAGTTGGCTGCATTCTGTCAAGTGTCCTTTCGATGATGATTTTTGGAGAACTTGACCCAGGGAACCACAAGAATTACAACACCATGGCCAAAGTCCAACCTGCATCACCGAGCCATTTCCGCTGAGGTCCAAAAGATCCTGACCCATCGAACCACATCATTCCCGAAAGGGTGGCGTTTGGATGTTATGGTCATGCATTTATATAGCAGTAGTTGAAAAGTCAACTAGCTGAATGCAATGCAGATCAGAATGTCTTGCGAAAGACACATTTTGTACGTGAATCGGTGAAACTGAATCAAGTCAACATTGCGATCAATAGAAAGCTCACGACGATGATGACACATCTGCTCGAAGAGCCAAAGCCCTGCTGGACCTTCCCTCCGCCATGAAATGGCAATCTGTACACTAATACCTCCTAGATTGTGTCTCTTTCCTAAAGTGAGCTAAACCCATGAACAACCCTCTGAAGCCATCAATGCCGGGTCTTTTGTTTGCGTGTTTATTATTGTTTATGTGGGGATAGCTCACTCATCAGCCCGCCGGGCCAGTCTGAGTCTATGAAAGGAGTGTAAAAAAAAACAATCAGTCCCAAATACACAGGGCTACAGGAATGAGTTAGCAGAAATGCGAAATGCATCGAAATCCGATCTCCAAAACTCATGTCGCTTTACCTGGCCTTGTCTTGGCTACAAGGTTATTGAGGTAGACAACTATTGCGGCTAATGCAGTCAAGACTCCCAGAGTTCAGAAGGAGTGTAACCATCCGCTGCAATCCCCAACTTTCCTTTGTGCCATTGGGAAGGATAAGTTCAGTGCTTGCATTGCCATAAAAGCGTCTCGAATATGCGTGAAACTTAAAACCTTACGTCGAATGGATCTGGCCACTTCTTTCTCATCTTTCTACTACAGTAAGTTCTGGCTGGAATTTGTGTCCAGTCAATAGCAAACAAGCCTCGCAACAGAGTTTGAACTCTGTCTGAGTAAAGTATGGAGGCCAGCTTTGTCTTAGTCACATCTCCTGGCCGTTCAGCGAAGAGATAACTGCCAAGAAGATAGGTCTCAAATGTCTCAGTTTCAGCATTCATTACGCCTGAATTGTCTGTGTCCACCTTGTAGAATAACTCAGCTGCATCAGCCTGGGCTGAATTTCTGTGCGGTCTGGTCAAGGTCACTTGATTTGCAATTCACACTATCTGGAAGATCATGGGAGAGTAGAAATCACTAGTTGGGACTATCCCAGCAAGCTGAACACACCTTACTACTAGGCTCCCCCGTGTCATTCGGAGAAGAAGCCGCCCACGAACGGCGGGGAAGGAGCTGACTGTCATCTGAAGATACAACGGGCAGTGGCGCATTGATCAGTGACTAGAAACAAAAGACCCCAGGTCAAGAACATCAAGACACAACATGAAGAGAAAACGTTCCGCAGCCGAATTTCTTAACATCTGAACAAAACAGTGGTGGCTCAAGCTCCACTACTGTTGGCACTGTGGACTATTTGCGACAGAAAATGAGAGAAACCAAAGCAAACTAATTTAAGACAGAAACACGGTTTTCATGTTGGCAGGCGCTCTCAGGTCATCGGCCCAAATATACGCTTAGAGGCCTTGCCCACATAGGAAGTTTCACACGGCACTCTGGCCACATGAGCCGCAAAGCAAAGAATACTGGTAGGTTGTGACACCCCGTGGCAAGTTGAGAGGCTCAGGGCTCACCAATTGCCCGGAATTGCCAGTTAAGTTTCCCTAAAAATTCTAGGAACCAAATCATTAGAAGAAGCGTGAGCTATCCTGAATCCAGTTACTAGAAGCTTACCTCCTTACTTAATTGAGTAGGCGCCTACTTAATTAAGTAGGGAGGGGGGGAGCGGGCTAAAAAGACTTAATGTGCTCCATAACGTGCCAGCTTATAGCCCAAAGGCATGTAGTCAAAAACCAAAAACCTTCGTACAGGAGGGATAGCTGAAGGATGCTGAAGGAAATGGAACTCATGGAGAGATTGAAAGGCACGTCAAATGCAAAGCATTGCAAAGCCACCAACAAGACAGATCCAAAAACATAACTACCCAAAAAGTGGCTGCAACAAAGCTCAAAGAAGGAATACTCTGCCAGGGAATGTGGGGCTTGAAGGGGAGTCTTGGGCCAGAGTGCTTAATAGCAATGGCCTCCAACCTAAGAGCCATGGCCTCCAACCTAATAGACCTTTGGGCCATTGGGAAATGATTTCGCTACCTCTTTCTAAACACTTCCTGCCCAACGAGATCTTTTTTGGCAGAAAACAATATCTTCTTGACCAGACACGATCCATTGTCGCCTCTCTTTCTCCCACTCTTGGCGTACAACGGTCTCATCCGTCTTCTTGCTGGCCTGACCAGCCGAGATTTTGAGGGTTCAATGTGGCGAACACCTTGAAAGAGTTGTGTTTATATGCTTTTTGTTTTCCTGATATGTTGGTTTGCACTGGCCGCTGGCCTGCGCATTATCCACAAAGATCCCAGTCCTTGCAAGCTTGCTTAGTTTGATGGCTCAAACGAAACTATTCATACAAACCAAGGAGTAGCAACACAGTTCATGTATGTATATATATATATGCATAGTGCAGCAAGGAACATTATGTTCAGGCAGCAAAATACCTTGGCTGAGTGATGACTTGTGGCCAGAGATAATAGTGTAGTCTAGACTCTAGACCCTGTCAGTTCATTTCGCTCAGGGCATTCAGCGTTTGAATTGGACACCTCATGGCCCATGGCACTTCCAAAGGTCTGCAACCAGCTGCGACATCAACAACAAGTCTGTGAACGCTGTCGAGGTGCTGTTGAGAAAATGTACATTAAAAAGAGAATGTCAACTATCCAGGAAATTTCACTGAGAGGTTTCAGCGCTTCATTCCATAACATTCCACCTCGCAGGAGCATGCATGGCCTCCGATTAACTCAACCAAAACTTCAAGAAGGGTTTACCCACCGAACTTGGCCTGAGATAGTCATGAAGAGTGTCAAAATAGTTCGAGACAGCCTCGGACAGCAAGCTAGAATTCGACAAAACAAGCTCACATTTGCAAGAAGTGCTTGGCAGCGCAGCGCCGGTCCAAGGCAAACTTTCATATTCAATATTCATTCTGCCAAGCCACGTTCCATAGTATGTTATTAATTGGCTGTCTCCAGCAGTGTTGCCCGTCAAGTGTGCTGCCGACAGTTGCATGAAAGTCACCTGCAAGTCCGGCCGGTGCGCGTGCCCATGCCTGCTTCACCAAATTAATCAACGATTTTCTCAGTCATGCCAAGCCACCCCAAATACATAGGTGACCTGAGTTGTTTCCACGAGGCAAGTGGATTATTCTGCTTGTCCTGAACTCAGAACATTGCACAGCAGTTTGTATCAAATGAGTGTTCGGCCAGAAGTAGTAAGGCCTTGGCCACCCGAGTCGGAGCAAAGCTGTGCAAAAAAGAAGCAAAAAGAAGAGGAACCACTGACATTAAAGTTTGAAGAAAAAAGCAGCCTGCTGCAGCTGTAGAAAGGTTGGGCGTGGTGTTGCTGACAAGATGGCTACCAGGGACGCAGGGACACGGGCTTTCGTGGGGATTTGCCAGGTCCTTTAACTCCCTGCGGGGCAGGGTACTTGGCCATTAGACTGAGTGACTGAGCAAGTGCCACTCACTAAGTGTATTGCAATTGCGTTCCAAATGACCTGTTTGATTTGGCGCCTCCAATGATGTGTTGAGATATGTTTATATAGAAATTAAAAATACAGTGTGTGTGTATATATATATATAGTAGTGGGTTGAGGTGAATGCCAAACCTGTAGAGAATAGTGTGAAAAGCCTTCCTGACGGGGTTGGAGAAGTATCGGTGTGACAGCGTGACCCTATAAATCTAAAAATAGCTCTCTGTAGAGAGGGTACATTACATTATCCTACTAGGAGCAAGGACGCTACTAGGGGCTCCTGGCCGTACTACTAGGAACAAGGTTCGCTACTAGGGGCTCCTGGCCGTACTAGAAACAGGAAGCTGCTCCTAAACTTCAGTCTTTGTTGGGTGCTCAGAGCTTGGTCTCTTCAGACCAAGGCACGATCGCCCAAAGAAGCACTCTGCCGGATGCTTTGATTCCAGTGACCATGACCCGAAGATCGTTGAAGAATCGGACGACTCGCACGATACGAGCCACACCTGCCCGCTCGTACGGTCGTTTCTTGTCTTTTGGACCTTTTCCTTTGGACCTTTAGACCTTTCTACGAACAAGAACGCTACTAGGAACAAAGGGCATCGCTACTAGGAGCAAGGACGCTACTAGGGGCTCCTGGCCTTACTACTAGTAACAAGAAGCTACTAGGAACAAAGAAGCGATGAAGTACGACCTTTCTTCTTTCTTTCCTCCTTTTCCCTTGGACCTTTAGACCTTTTCCTTTTTCCAGTTATTCTTTCCTCTGCTTTTTGGATTTGTTTGGTGTGTCTTTTTGGCCAAGGGCACGCAACAAGCGCACCATTCTCAGCATCCGCAGGACTGACCTGAAAGACAATGCCCAGGAATGGCATGAAATGGCTGGAGCAACACCGCAGGATGAAGCAGGCAAAGGATGGCAAAGGCGGAGAATAGTTTTGGGAAGCAACTCCTACATCTTGCCAAGGCACACATCAATCTCTGGTCTATTCGCCTCAACTATATTGATGATCTCTTCTACAAAGGTTGACCTTGGTGTTGCAATCTGTGAAACAATTACACAAAGAAATTGTCGCACGCAGCCTCTCAGACTTAGGTTGTGGCAATACCAATATAATGTCTAAAATGTTCCAGTGCCTCGCACTCTGAAGATTGAAGATATTCCCTGATCGGTCACTGATGTGATATAACGTTGCCACTAGGTCTTGCCAGGTTGCAATGCAGGGTTGTAGAGCGAAATAAAGAATTTTTGATCTGCCTGACTGGGATGAGAATCCTTTGGGAAATGTTCAAAAGTCTGGTTGAGTTCTCGATTTGTTGTAGGAGAAACACCAAGCTGAGCACAGCCAGCCGGAGGCCAAGCTCTATGGCAAAGCAAACATTGAAGACAATGTCAAAGATCCGAATCAGCCAGTATGGTTCCTGAAGGGCACGGCATTCTATCCCTGTCTGTTTAAGGTGCAGCAGTTGCGACATTGCGCCAATGCTTCAAAGGCACTCCGTTTAGGTTGTTCAGCGTGTATTCTGCTTCTATTCCAACCAGCAAGGAGTTCCCGACCATAATTGCGGCCGCCACCCATTCAAAACGCTGATTGAAGACAATTTTCCTGCGCTCACATGTGCGTCAACTTGGATCCAGTACAGTCAATTTTTGAACCATGTCGAAACCCTTGGAGTGACCACTAAGCGTGCTGTTGCAGAAAGGTTCCGGGACTGAATCGTATTTCCCAGACATACCAACAGCATGACACATCCTCGTTTCACAGAACTTGCATTGCAAGGGCCACCATTGCAAACTAGCAATGGTTGAATCGTTTCTCTTCTTGAAATTGATGTCATTTCAATTTTCTGGAGCTTCCCAAAGCACGTTTTGCAGCTGGCTGCCCTCAGCATGTTCGCCCTTCTGTACCTTTAGCTTTGAGAAGCTTATCGGGGTGGAGCAGCAAAAGTGAACCTGAAAGCGCCTGGCCTCGCAAAGACACGCCCTGGAGGCATTTCTTCTTCATTGACAACACGCCTTCAAAAGAAGGTGAAAAGCGTTTCAAGGTTGGGAAACTTCTTCTAACACTACAGGCAACTACCAATCAGCACCTACACCGAGCCACAGTTCGTTAACTTGCGCCTTGCGACCAATTGCGCTTTCTTCTTCAACAGCTCTTCATCACCCTCGCAAGACTGTAACGGTCGTCGCGTGTCTTCATTTACTAGTAATGATATCTCAACACTGTTGCCGAGTTGGAGATTCTCACGCAGTCTTGTTTGCAGTTGCAGGAAAGGCGCTTCTCTCAAAGTCATAACCCCCTCAGTGCCACAGCATACAGGATTGGGCCCTTTCCTCTACCCTCTGGAGGGGTATCAGTAGCTTTTTACCCACATGTACCCATATCATGCCGCATGCCGGAAATACATCACTAGTTTGACTGTCATTGACTGTCAAATCCACGTCCTCAACCTCCAACGTTGGATACCTCCGGTGAAATCTGACGAGTGTCATCGCCAGTATTGCGGATCTTCTGGTTTGTACTTTTGCTCTCCGCTGGATCTTCAGCCTTCAAACACCCCACTGAACATCAGGTCTACATCGAAGTTGGCACATTCAGGAACTCTGATGCCTTCGGCTCTTCCCATGCTGATTTCACCTTGTCCTCACATCTTGAGGCCGGGAATTCAGGATAGTGACAAGAACTAAGTCCCAATGGCTGCTCTCCTTTTTGCCTTTCCTGCGGCGGCCGCCAGCAGCTTCATACTGTTGTCGTGCCAAGTCTTCGTCATCAGTTGGCATCGCTGATGTGTAGAGGTCACCTTAGTGTCCAGCCCTCTCATCAAGCCTCCTTTCTGCGCTCTTTACCAGCATCACAAGACCATGAAATCAAGCTTCCATAAGGATCTTCCCCAAGAAGTTCGTCAAAATCAAGCCTTCAAAAGAAGTTCAGCGGTCGCTTTTGGAACTCCAAGGACTTGGCTTTGAACGAACCATGACAAATCTTTAAAGCTACGAACCTTGAGTCAAGCTACGAACCTCCCGAAAGCACTGATGAGCGGTTTAGAACATGCTCTGGGAATTCCCCAATCGCGTTCTCTCGTAGTGCTGCACGACTCATCTCTGCATCCTGGGTCTTTTTGGCAAGGCAGTGAAGGCTTAGACCATTCCGCAAAAGAACCTCCGTGAGTCCGTCCTGAAATGGCTGGATGATGCCTGGATCTCGGATTGACGCTAGCATCTGCTTTTGCATATTCATCAACTGGTGCCTGACAAAGCCATGAAACAGCTGAGTGTCTGACAAATCTTACAAAGCACTCATACAACTCATGTTGCAGCACGCGCTACTGAAGAGCTGCAGTGGTAGCAGCCGCCACCTACGCTGCACACAGAAGGCCCAATATTTAAAGAATTCGACGTTGCCCCTTCAGAGGGTTCCCGTTTGCCCATGCCTGCTGGGCTGAGGCTCTGATCATCTTCTCTACCCGGACATGCTTTCGATCCTCAGCGTGAGGCTGAAACAAGAAATCGGTCCTGCAGAGCAGATAGTGCTGCCACGGGGGTGCCAACCAATCTGGGAGGATGGAATACACAAACGCATGGCTGAGCATCGATATCTTGACGGAGCTTCTCAAATTCGTTCTGTATGTTTCCAGCCTTGGTTCGCAAGGTCTACAAACAGCTTCCCTCAACACTGCCGCAAAATCAGAAGATTGTCTGTACATAGTGGTGTTATTATAAGCCATGGATACGTGTATTGAACCAAAACCATGGCATTCCAGACTAGCCTACTTAGCTGAAAAAGAAAAATACAGATGTTCCAAATCCTCTCATTGTCCACTCTGGGGAGCTCACGAATACGCTAGCAGCTTGGCGTGCTTTTGGGCTTGTTGGACTGCCCATGCCTCAGACTCGACTCCGCCAACTGGTCGACTGGTCGACTTTCGTGGCTGTCAACTTCGCTATAGCCTGCACGATCGTCTCTTTTTGTAGAGCCGACCTTCCCTCTCCCTACTTAATTAAGTAAGGAGGTAAGCTACTAGGAGAAGTTCGCTCCTAGGTAGGACGCAGGATAGCTCACGCTTCCTTGAAGAAGCGCTCGCACTAATAATGATGTGGTTCCACAAAACCTAACATTTTGCACTATATAATGCTATAGTGGCAGTCGACTTCGCTATAGTCTTGACTTCTTCACGCCTCCGCCATGAGAAATGTCCATTTCAGCCATGCTGCTGGATACAGCCATGTGACTACGTATTGTCTGACATGGTCTTCAGGCACTAAAAAAAGTCCCAACGCAAAGCACTTGAGCCAAGCAGGCACAGTGAGTGATCAACTAAATTAAATCTAGTGTCATTGCAACAGCTGCAAATCTGGCCAAAGGATGCCAAAGATTCAAGCTAGCACGAGCCTCTTTGATAGGGCAACCCAGCCTGTGGAGAGACCAAGCAAATGTTGAATCGGTACAACCCAGCATGTGCAAGAACATCAAGAACACAGTAGTGAACATCACAAAATACTCACTGGGAGGCCGTATCATTTTGCAACACACCAGCACTAGCATGCATGCATCCGGCTATCAAGGAGCAGCTGCGCTCCGAATTTGCAGCTGAGACGAGCGGCAGAGATCGAACTTTGACGAAACGTGCTCGAAGAAAGGGTGGTAGCACAAATCAAGTCCCAATTTGCCCAATTGGATCTGTTCAGTTCAAGGACAAAAAACCTTTGATACACAAGGGGCACAGTGTGAATCTCAGCACGCAGTGCTCAGCTGTCAACAGTTGAATGCACTAGACCCTCACTGCACCCAATGTGTCCAAGACAAAGCATCCTGAACACCTTCAGGGGCAGGTGAAGTCGAATGAGACTGGCAGATACCTTCAAAGCTTCATCAAGTTCAGTTCTCAATTCAAACTCTTCATCAAGATTCAACTTGAGAGGGAGGGGGTGGACGAAAGGTAGGTAAATAAGTTCACTTTTCAGAGAGACGTGTCATATAGAAGAGAAGAGAAGAGAAGAGAAGAGAAGAGAAGAGAAGAGAAGAG